AATCTCTGTGTTTGTTTTGCTCTGTTAGAATTGTAATACAATGGTTGCTGATGACACGATAAATAAATAAACTGAATTCATTCGATAACAAAGATGCACACATAAGAGCTTGTAAAACTACAACTCCCACGATTCCATCACACTGAGTCTTAGGCAGTCAAAGTGCTGTCAAACTGCAGTAACTTTGCAGTGTAGATACACCCCTTGGAGATTAAACTAGAATGATTATCTCAGCATTATCAAGAGAATGCATTATTTTCCCTCCCAGCAGCTACTGTTATAGTGAAGCTTCTTTAATGTTAGAAGGTTTGAAGGGAGACAGAGGAGAGGAGGAGGAACAACAAGGGGGTGAAGCCCGAGAGAGAGGATATCCACCAGCACAGGGCCGAGTCAAGCATAGCCAAGGGGATAGCAGCCAGCAGCACCAAATCATCCTGCGCCTGGTAAAAAAGGAGAGAAAAAGAGAAAGAGAGAGAAGGAGAAAGAGACCTTTGAGGAGGAGAGACGGGATGCGGAGGAAGGACACACAGCCGATTCATCTCATGTTAAAATATGGGATTTTTTTCCAACACGTAACCACCTAGGATGAGTTGGGAATGGCTGCTAGGGCCCCGTCCACACTCACCACTTAATGCAGTTCAAACTGCGCCAACAAACTCCTGCGAAAGTAGGCAAAATGAAGCCCGTCATGGCCTTTGACTGCCCTGGGGTTGTGTGGTCATCATCCAGGCCTCCAACTGGTTCCAGGATGAGGAGGAGGAGGAGGAGGACAATGACTTCGTCTTCTTCATCTCTTTATCATTATCCTCTCTTTATCTTCATCTGTTCTTCATCATCTCTTCATCTTGCCTTCTTCATCTTTTCTTCATTATCATTTCATCTTCTTCATCTTGCCTTCTTCACCTCTTCTTCATCACCTCTTCTTCATCTTGCCTTCGTCATTCCATCATCTTTTTCATCTCTTCGTCTTTATCATCTCTTCTTCATCTTGCCTTCATCTCATCTTCATCATCTCATCTTCTTTATCTTCTTCATCTTCATCTCTTCATCTGTTCGTCATCTCTTCTTTATCTCTTCTTCATCTTGCCTTCATCATCTCATTATTTTCTTCATCATCATATCTTCATCTCTTCTTCACCTTGCCTTCATCTCATCTTCTTCATTATCTCATCTTCTTTATCTTCTTCATCTCTTCTTCATCTTGCCTTCGTGTCATCTTCTTCATCATCTCATCTTTTTCATCTTGCCTTCATCTTCATCATCTCTTCTTCATCTTGCCTTCAACATCTCATCTTCTTCTTCATCTCATCTTCTTCATCTCATCTTTATCTTCATCTCTTCGTCTGTTCTTCATCTCATCTTCTTCATCATCTCATCTTCATCTTGTCTTTTTCATATTTATCTCTTCTTCATCTTGCCTTCATCATCTCATCATCTTCTTCTTCATCATATATTCATCTTGCCTTCTTCATCTTTATTTCTTTTTCATTTTGCCTTCATCTCATCTTCTTCATCATCTATTTTTCTTCATCTTCATCTCTTCATCTCTTCTTCATCTTGCCTTCTTCTTCATCTCATCTTCATCTTGCCTTCATGTCATCTTCCTCATCATCTCATCTTTTTCATCTTGCCTTCTTCATTTTCATCATATCTTCTTCATCTTGCCATCATCATCTCTTCTTCTTCATCTCAACTTCATCTCTTCATCTGTTCTTCATCTCATCTTCATCATCTCTTCATCATCTCATCTTCTTCCTCATCATATCATCTTCATCTTGCCTTCTTCATCTTTATCTCTTCTTCATCTTGCCTTCACCATCTCATCATCTTCTTCATCATCATATATTCATCTTGCCTTCTTCATCTTTATCTCTTTTTCATCTTGCCTTCATCTCATCTTCTTCTTCATCTCATCTTCTTTATCTTCTTCATCTCATCTTCTTCATCTCTTCATCATCTCATATTCTTTATCTTCTTCATCTTGCCTTCTTCATCTCATCTTCATCTTGCCTTCACGTCATCTTCATCATTTCATCTTCTTTTTTCATCTTGCCTTCTTCATCTTCATCATCTCTTCTTCATCTTGACTTCATCATCTCATCTTCTTCTTCATCTTATCTTCATCATCTCTTCATGTGTTCATCTTCATCATCTCTTCTTCATCATCTCATCTTCCTCATCATCTCATCTTCATCTTGCCTTCATCTCATCTTCATCATCTCATCTTCTTCATCTTGCCTTCTTCATTTCATCTTCACCTTGCCTTCATGTCATCTTCTTCATCATCTCATCTTCTTGCGTTCATCTCTTCTTCATTTTGCTTTCATCACCTCATCTTCTTCTTCATCATCTCTCCTCCTCCTCCTTTTTATATTTATTATTTCTATCCCATTGTACTTCTCCACAAAGAGACCCAATGCGGCTAAAAGTGCTACAATATATAATTCAAAACCTAAAGAAAACCCCCAAACCCTATGTGATCATCTGCCCAGCGAAGCCACTTCCTTCAACACTGGTTCAAAACTGCATCAAATGGTCAGTGTAGATGGGACTGAAGTTCGGGAAGGAGAGAAGGCTGTGAACATGCCACAAAGACGGGACCCACACGTTCACACACAAATGCACGCACGCAGAGCTATCTCCTGGTAAAGGATATCCACCAGACGATACAGGAATCCACAAAGGCCAGGAAAATCTCACAGCCGAGGGTGGCTACGTTTGTTTGCTCCTGGGGTGAGGGACAATCACACGCTGAGAATGGATGGTCCCAATGTTCTCCCGCGCAACCCACATATACTCCCAGTACCTTCCCTATTAAATTCTGATTTTTCTTACCGATTTCACCCTCAGGACCCCTTCGATGATGGAAAAGATGAGGTACATGAGCCCCACGCCCACAACACGGTTCAGGAGGGCTCCCAAACGGGGTCTGGAGACGAAAAAAGCAGAGTTGGGTCAAGGTCAGTACTATCAATGAATTTCAAGATGGCAATGGTTTGGTCAATGATACTGATGCAGAGAAGGACCAGGAGACCCCTGTGCAAAGTGTAGTTTCTCATGAGAATGTCCCTGAAGGGTGTGAGGATGATAGTGTGCTTCCTGAATTGTTACCAGAGTTCCCAGGATTTGGGGCTTGAAAACAATTGGGTACCTGGCCCAGCTGCAAAACTTAAGGAGCAAATAGATAGGCGAGAGGAAATTAGTCAAAACAGATAGGTTGAACAGTGCCTTCGGCGTTCTGCCAGGCTCCAACAGAAAAAGATAAAGGGATCTCATGTAAAGCGAAACCAATTCCTGAGTGTGTGGAATAGCTTAACGAGGGGATATAAGTTCCAAGTATGGGAAATATAGTCAGATGAAGCAACATTGGAATTAAATGTAGTTCTCATCCTTGTTTTATGGAAGCCTTGCTTGGAAGATTGTTGTCTAAGTATTTCTTGTTTGATGGTTTGGATTCTTAGATTTTATGAATGCCTACTCATACCTTGGATTAATGTTTCATAGAATCATAGAATCCAAGAGTTGGAAGAGACCTCATGGGCCATCCAGTCCAACCCCATTCTGCCAAGAAGCAGGAATATTGCATTCAAAGCACCCCTGACAGATGGCCACCCAGCCTCTGTTTAAAAGCTTCCAAAGAAGGAGCCTCCACCACACTCCGGGGCAGAGAGTTCCACTGCTGAACGGCTCTCACAGTCAGGAAGTTCTTCCTCATGTTCAGATGGAATCTCCTTTCTTGTAGTTTGAAGCCACTGTTTTGCGTCCTAGTCTCCAGGGAAGCAGAAAACAAGCTTGCTCCCTCCTCCCTGTGGCTTCCTCTCACATATTTATACATGGCTCATCATATCTCCTCTCAGCCTTCTCTTCTTCAGGCTAAACATGCCCAGCTCCTTAAGCCGCTCCTCATAGGGCTTGTTCTCCAGACCCTTGATCATTTTAGTCGCCCTCCTCTGGACACATTCCAGCTTGTCAATATCTCTCTTGAATTGTGGTGCCCAGAATTGGACACAATATTCCAGGTGTGGTCTGACCAAAGCGGAATAGAGCATGGGGAGCATGACTTCCCTAGATCTAGACTCTATGCTCCTATTTCCTGTTTTCCTGAATTATATTTAGAGAAGTGTGGACTTTGTTTTTATGGACTTTGCTGAACTTTACCCTGGACTATTTTTCTCCTACTTATCTTCTTACCTAATTGGATGTACCTATTTCTTTAAAGTGCTTTTTACTTGTTGCTTTTTAATCATCTATATAAATAAAAATGTAATGTTCGTTTGTGGTATTCACAGAACTCAAAAACCCCTGGATGAATTGGCACCAAATTTGGACACGATACACCTAACAACCCAATGTATGTCCTTCACTCAAAAAAAAATTGATTTTGTCATTTGGGAGTTGTAGTTGCTGGGATTTATAGTTCACCTACAATCAAAGAGCATTCTGAACCCCACCAACAATGGAATTGAACCAAACTTGGCACACAGTTCTCCCATGATCAACAGAAAATACTGGAAGGGTTTGGTTGGGCATTGACCTTGAGTTTTGGAGTTGTAGTTCACCTACATCCAGAGAGCACTGTGACTCAAACAATGATGGATCTGGACCAAACTTGACACAAATACTCCATATACCCAAATGTGAACACTGATGGGAGTTTGGGGAAAATAGAATTGACATTTGGGAGTTGTAGTTGCTGGGATTTATAGTTCACCTACAATTGAAAAGCATTCTGAACCCCACCAACATTAGAATTGGGACACAGAACCCCCATGAGGGCCACGGCAACACGTGGCAGGGGACGGCTAGTCTTCAATAAAATAGTTAAGTTGTTGTAGGTATTTTCGGGCTATATGGCCATGTTCTAGAGGCATTCTCTCCTGACATTTCGCCTGCATCTATGGCAAGCATCATCAGAGTTTGTGAGGTCTGAATAAAATGATTGTTTTCCAATCAACGGTGTGGTATTTACAGTCAGAGGGCTTTTCCTGTCCTGGCGTGCAAGAGATGCTATGATGCTCCCCTCTCACTCTGTGCAAAACTACCATTTTCTGTTTGGGAGACTCACTTGACAATGCCGTATCCCAGGCTGGCGATGATGACGAGCACTCGGGCCAACATCCGCTTCACGGCACACAAGACCTCGGCGAATATCACGGCCCCTTGAACTGGAAAACAACAACAACAACAACAATTTATTTATTTCCCACAATCATCTCCTGGAGGGACTCGGGTGGCTCACAAGCACTCAACAAGGTGCAAACATGCAAAATGAAGAGAGAGGGGGCCAGGGGACAGTTCCATCTCGTCTCCTGCATATGTCATCAGTTGGGGACCCCTCTCCCCAGCACCAACTGCTGCTCTGGGACAGAGTGAAGAGAAGGGGGCAGGGGACACTTCCATCTTGTCTCCTACGCTATGCTAATAATATAATATAATCTATACAAATAAAAATGTAATGTTCGTTTGTGGGATTAACATCACTCAAAAACCACAGGACGAATAGACACAAAATTTGGACACTACACCCCTAACAGATCAATGAGTGACCATCACTCATAAAACTACCCGAAAAAACAACGGAAATGACCCAAAAAAGCAAAATGATGAAATGCTAAATGATGATACCAAAAAAAAAGGTTGGGAGAGGGAGAGAAGGAAGGAGAGACAGAAAGAAAGAAAAAGAAAGAAGGAAGAGAAAGAAGAGAGAAGGAAGCAAAGAGTGAAGAAAGGAAAGAAGTAGAGGAGGAAGAAGGAGCGAAGGAAAGAAAAAAGAGAAGGAAGGAAAGAGGGAGTGAAGGAAGGAGGGAAAGAAGGAGAGAAAGAGGAGGGAAGGAAAGAAGGAAAGAGAGAAGGAAGGATGCAAGCAAAAAGCGAAGGAAGGAAGGAAAGGTAGATAAGAAAGGAGAGAAAGAGGGAGGGAAGGAAAGAAGGAAAGAGAGAAGGAAGGATGGAAGCAAAAAGCGAAGGAAGGAAGGAAAGAGGTAGAGAAGGAAGAAAGGAGAGGAAGAAAGAGAAAGAAAGGAGGAAGAGAAGGAGGAAGGAAGGAAAGGAAAAAGGAAAAAAGGAAGGAAAGAGGAGGGAAGGAAAGGAAGAAAAGGAAAGGAAAGAAGAGGAAAGAAGGAGAGAAAGAGGGAGGGAAGGAAAGAAGGAAAGAGAGAAGGAAGGATGCAAGCAAAAAGCGAAGGAAGGAAGGAAAGGTAGATAAGAAAGGAGAGAAAGAGGGAGGGAAGGAAAGAAGGAAAGAGAGAAGGAAGGATGGAAGCAAAAAGCGAAGGAAGGAAGGAAAGGTAGATAAGAAAGGAGAGAAAGAGGGAGGGAAGGAAAGACGGAAAGAGAGAAGGAAGGATGGAAGTAAAAAGCGAAGGAAGGAAGGAAAGGTAGAAAAGGAAAAAAGGAGAGAAAGAGGGAGGGAAGGAAAGGATGGAAGCAAAAAGGAAAGGAAGGAAGGAAAGACAGAGTGAAGGAAGGAGAGAAAGAGGGAGGGAAGGTTGGCTGCAGCAATGCATGGCAGGTACATCTAGTATAATGTAATGTAATATATTGTATATACATATAATATTTCTAATATTATAATGTAATACAATATAATACTAATAATAATAATATATTATAATTATATATTTTATATTACATGTAATATTGCTAATAATATTACAATATAATGGTATAGTACAATATAGTAATATATAACACTGATATTGTCCTATGCTAATAATATAATATATTGTATGTATACATATCTTGTAAGCCGCTCTGAGTCCCCTCCCCTGTCCCTGGTATTCTAGGGATTGGGAATTGTTACTTTTCTTTGGATTGTAGTGTCACACGCCATGCAACACTGCAGCAAACCAACCAGGCTTTGCAACTCTGCAAAGGTAAATTTGGGTTCCTCCAGTTGAGTTTTAGGGGGACGGGGACCCCAAAATGAGCATATCACCTACCAGAGACCCCTTGGCTCTGGATGCTCTGGAACTCGGCGTAAAAGACGGCCTTCTCCAACATGCCCAGCAGGATGACGCCCCCGATCCAGAACTGGATGCGCAGGATGTCGCGCCAATAGCAAGCCAGGAGGACGAGCCACAGGACCCCGTAGAAGACGTACACAATGCACATCACCATGTAGAACTGCCAGGGAAGGAAGGAGAGCGCTAAGTGTGGGCCATGGGCAAACTTCGGCCCTCCATGTGTTTTGGACTTTTACTGCCCTGGGGGTTGTGTGGTCATCATCCAGGCCTCCAACTGGTTCCAGGATGATGACGAGGAGGACGATGACTTCATCTTCTTCATCTTGCCTTCTTCGTCTCTTCTTCTTCATCTGGACTTTTCTTCATTATCATTTCATCTTCTTCGTCTTGCCTTCTTCATCTTTGTAATCTCTTCTACATCTTGCCTTCATCTCATCTTCTTCATCATCTCTTCTTCATTATCATTTCATTTTCTTCATCTTGCCTTCTTCATCTCTTCTTCATCATCTCTTCATCTTGCCTTCTTCATCTCTTCTTCTTCTAGTCCTTGGAGACTAGGACGAGGAACAATGGCTTCAAACTACAAGAGAGGAGATTCCATCTGAACATGAGGAAGAACTTCCTGACTGTGAGAGCCGTTCAGCAGTGGAACTCTCTGCCCCGGAGTGTGGTGGAGGCTCCTTCTTTGGAGGCTTTTAAGCAGATGGCCATTTGTCAGGGGTGATTTGAATGCAATACTCCTGCTTCTTGGCAGAATGGGGTTGGACTGGATGGCCCATGAGGTCTCTTCCAACTCTTTGATTCTATGATCATCTCTTCTTCATCATCTCTTCTTCATCTGGCCTTCATCTTTTCTTCATTTTCATTTCATCTTCTTCATCTTGCCTTCTTCACCTCTTCTTCTCCATCACCTCTTCTTCATCTTGCCTTCTTCTTCATCTCATCTTCTTCATCTCTTCCTCATCTGGCCTTCTTCATCCTTATAATCTCTTCTTCATCTTGCCTTCATCTCATCTTCTTCGTCACCTCATCTTCTTTATCTACTTCACCCCATGTTCTTCATCTCTTCTTCATCTCATCTTCATCATCTCTTCTTCATCTTGCCTTCATCATCTCATCTTCTTCGTCATCTCATCTTCATCATCTTCTTCATCTCTTCATCTCCTTCATCTCTTCTTCATCATCTCTTCATCTTGCCTTCTTCATCTCTTTTTCTTCATCATCTCTTTTTCATCTGGCCTTCATATTTCCTTCATTTTCATCACCTCTTCTTCATCTTGCCTTCTTCTTCATCTCATCTTCTTCATCTCTTCCTCATCTGGCCTTCTTCATCCTTATAATCTCTTCTTCATCTTGCCTTCATCTCATCTCCTTTGTCATCTCATCTTCTTTATCTCCTTCACCCCATGTTCTTCATCTCTTCTTCATCTTGCCTTCTTCATCTTTATCTCTTCTTCATCCTGCGTTCATGTCATTTTCATCTTTATAATCTCACCTTCTTCATCTTGTCTTCATCATCTTATATTCATCTTGCCTTCATCTCTTCTTCTTCATCATCCAGTAGGCTGTTAGGAGTTGAAGTCCAAAACACCCGGAGGGCCCAAGTTTGCCCATGCCTACAATAAACTCATATATTGCATATATAATGGATATATCCACAAGGATTGTTTCACCCGGAAACTCACCACCATCAGAGGCCACTCGGAAGCCGAAATGTACTGGTGGACAGGATGCTTCATCTGGACGTCAACTGGAAGTTAAAATGGGGAAAGAGATATGTAGATGAAAGGAGAATTGAAGGGGAGGATGCTACTAAAGAAGCAGTTAACCAATGTAAACACCAATTATTTTATTTATCACCCCAAAGGGTCTCAGAGTGGCTTACAAGATATATATACATACAATATATTATATTATTAGCATAGCACAATATCACTACTATATATTACTATATTGTACTATACCATTGTACTGTAATATTGTTAGTAATATAATATTAGTATAATATAATATAACATAATATAATATATTATTAGTAGTAGTAGTATTATATTGTATTACATTATAATAGTATAAATATTATATGTATATACAATATATTATATTATATTATATTATATTATATTATATTATATTATTAGCATAACACAGGAGACAAGATGGAACTGTCTTCCTGGTCCCCCTCTCTTCACTTAATTAACAATTAACAATAGTTTAGGGTTTATTTATGACATTTATATGCCGCCCTTCTCACCCCAAAGGGGACTCAGAGCGGCTTACAAGATATATATATACATACAATATATTATATTATTAGCATAGCACAATATCAGCATTATATATTGTACTATACAGTTGTACTGTAATATTATTAGTAATATAATATTACTAATATAATACATAATATATATAAATACAATATCATATTATTATTAGCATTATATTGTATTACATTATAATACTATAAATATTATATGTATATAAAATATATTATATTATAATATATTATTAGCATAACACATGAGACAAGATGGAACTGTCCTCCTGCCCCCCCCCCCCTCTTCACTTAATTAACAATTAACAATAGTTTGGGAAGACTACAAGATATACATACAAACAATATATTATATAGCATAGCACAATATTAGTATTATATATTACTATATTGTACTATACCACTATGCTGTAATATTATTAGTAATAATACATGTAATATGAAATATAAAATTATTATAATTATATCATATTATTATTAGCATTATATTGTATTACATTATAATATTATAAATATTATATGTATATACAATATATTATATTATATTATTAGCATAACACAGGAGAGAAGATGGAACTGTCTTTCTGGGGCCCCTCTCTTCACTTAATTAACAATTAACAATAGTTTAGGAGACACCCCCCCCCCCATCCAAACACTGGTTTGAAAGTGTTATTTGCTGTTTCATTGTGCAGTCCACACTTTGAAAGACTATGACACAGAATACCAAAGGGCAGCTCCTCAAGCCCCCAGGTCTATTTTGGGATTGTTTCCCCTTGAAAAGTCCCCAAACAGACCCCATATGAGTCATGTATGCTATTGTTTACACCTTCCATTACCGTCCTCTCTAATTAACCCTTCGATAGCCCCATCGGTGTGTCACTCACTCGGGACTTCCCAGCTGGAAGACTGGCTCTTGATGCTGAGGATGAAGACGTAGGGCCCGTCGTCCCAAGTGGCAGCAATGGCCGAATGCTGGAAAGCAAACATCCAAACAAAAATCCCGGATCAGCCAAGGAGCTGCGTTATAGCTGATGACTTACGCTAGATGGGGGATTGTAGGCATGGCAATCCCAGCTTCTTCCCCAAATTGGACCTGAAACTATAGAATCATAGAGTTTGAAGGGCCCACATGGGCTACCTAGTCCACCCCCTGCCATGAAGGAAAAGCACAATCAAAACACTCCCAACAGATGGCCATCCTGCCTCTGTTTAAAAGCTCCCAAGAAAGGAGCTTCCATTGCACTCTGAGGCAGAGTTCCACTGCTGAGCAAATCTTCTTACAGTCATGAAGTTCTTCCTAATAGGCCTGGGCAATGCATGGTTCTAAAGTACTTACAAAACTAAAGTTCTGGTGGTCAAAATTTCAAAACTCTAACAAAACTCTCAAAATTTCATTATAAATGGCAGTTCCTAATTGATTCTGTCATAAAAATCGCCAATAATGAAATAATTTTGAAAGTTTTGTTAGAGTTCTGAAATTTTCAGAACTCTAAATTTTTGGTGAAATTTCAGAACTCTAACAAAACTTTCAAAATTTCATTATAAATGGCAGTTCCTAATTGGTTCTGTCATAAAAATCGCCAATAATGAAATAATAATAAAATTTTGCAAGTTTTGTTAGAGTTCTGAAATTTGGTGAAAATTTCAAAGCTCTAACAAAACTCTCAACATTTCATTATAAATGGCAGTTCCTAATTGGTTCTGTCATAAAAATCGCCAATAATGAAATAATTTTGAAAGTTTTATTAGAGTTCTGAAAATTTCAGAACCTAACAAAACTTTCAAAATTATTTCATTTTGGTGGAAATTTCAAAACTCTAACAAAACTCACAAAATTTCATTATAAATGGCAGTTCCTAATTGGTTCTGTCATAAAAATCGCCAATAATGAAACAATAATTACATTTTGAAAGTTTTGTTAGAGTTCTGAAATTTTCACCACCAGAACTTTAGTTTTGTAAGTACTTTAGAACCATTGAGAACCATTCATTGCCCAGGCCTACTTCCTAATGTTCAGGTGGAATCTCCTTTCCTGTCATTTGAACCCATGGCTTCATTGAGATCTAATTTCCAGGACAGTAGAAAACAAGCCTGCAACCTCTTCCTTATGGCATTCCTTCAGGTATTTATAATGGCCCTCATCATGTCTCTCCTCAACCCTCTCTTCTGCAGGATAAACAAACCAAGCTCTTTAAGCCACTCCTCATAGGGATTCATGGTCTCCAGACCTATGATCATTTTAGTTGCCCTCTTCCTCTGGACACCTTCCATCTTAGAGTCAATATCTCTTTTGAACGATGGTGCCCAGAATTGGATGAAGAAGAAACACTGGGGAGAAGTGGTTTGTTGTAGGTTTTTTCGGGCTATGTGGCCATGGTCTGGAGGCATTCTCTCCTGACGTTTCGCCTGCATCTATGGCAAGCATCCTCAGAGGTAGTGAGGTGCTTTACTGCTTTGCCTACATATATTCTACAATAAACAGCTAAAAAAGAATGCTTTCCTTTCGGTTTTGGGTTCTGGAAAGGGTTTATAATAATTAATGGCAGACAGTTGCCTCAGTTGAGTCAACGTTGTTATTTTATCATGATCTTGCTTTCAAGTGCTCTGAGTTTCATGTACCACGTTTTTTTTGCCAAGCTTAAGTTTTGCCTATGGGATTTTCCTGCTGTTTTGTTTGATGGTTTCAAGCTGTTTTGTTTGATAGTTTCAAGTGCCTTGCTTCGTAGATTTCTATGTACTAATACACCTGGTTTCCCTTTTAAGTTAATTGATTATCTTGGATTTTGGACTTTTACTGTTTTGCTATTTTTTACTGCTTTGCGTACATATATTCTACAATAAACTGCTAAAAAGAATGCTTTCCTTTCGGTTTTGGGTTCTGGAAAGGGTTTATGATTCATGGGAGACAGTTGCCTCAGTTGAGTCAACGTTGTTATTTTATCATGGTCTTGCTTTCAAGTGCTCTGAGATTCATGTACCAAGTTTTTTGCCAAGTTTAAGTTTTGCCTATGGGATTTTCCTGCTGTTTTGTTTCATTGTTTCAAGTGCTTTGCTTCGTGGAGTTCTATGTACTAATGCACCTGGTTTCCCTTTTAAGTTAATTGATTATCTTGGATTTTGGGCTTTTACTGTTTTGCTATTTTTTTACTGCTTTGCCTACATATATTCGACAATAAACTGCTAAAAAAGAATGCTTTCCTTTCGGTTTTGGGTTCTGGAAAGAGTTTATAATGATTCATGGCAGACAGTTGCCTCAGTTGAGTCAACGTTGTTATTTTATCACGGTCTTGCTTTCAAGTGCTCTGAGTTTCATGTACCAAGTTTTTGCCAAGCTTAAGTTTTGCCTATGAAATTTTCCTGCTGTTTTGTTTAATGGTTTCAAGCTGTTTGATGGTTTCAAGTGCCTTGCTTCATGGATTTCTATGTATTAATACACCTGGTTTCCCTTTTAAGTTGATTATCTTAGATTTTGGACTTTTACTGTTTTGCTATTTTTACTGCTTTGCCTACATATATTCTACAATAAACTGCTAAAAAAGAATGCTTTCCTTTCGGTTTTGGGTTCTGGAAAGGGTTTATAATGATTCA